CCCCCACACTCCTCTCCTGTACGTACCGATCACTGTCATACCTCCACACTCCTCTCCTGTACATACCGATCACTGTCATACCCTCCACACTCCTCTCCTGTACGTACCGATCACTGTCATACCCCCCACACTCCTCTCCTGTACGTACCGATCACTGTCATACCCCCACACTCCTCTCCTGTACGTACCGATCACTGTCATACCTCCACACTCCTCTCCTGTACAGATAATCTGTACGATAATCAGGGAGTGTACGAGTAGTTTTAGTGGTGTCTGGGGTAAGGAAGGTACGTATCTTGGAGATGTTGCGGAGGTGGAGCCTGCATGTGTTTGTAAGTGATTTGACATGAGGTTGGAAGGAAAGGTTTGAGTCCAAAGTGACGCCAATGACTTTGGCTTGCTGGGCGGGATTGATGGTGGTGTTGTTGGTAGTGATGGATAGGATGGGGGGGTGAGTGGGCAGGGGGGAAGACGAGGAGAGGTTAAGCTTGAGGAAATGGAGCGACATCCAGTCAGAGATGTCGTTTAGGAGGTGAGTGATTCGAGCGGAGAATGTGGGGGTGAGGTGAGGGGTGGAGAGGTAAATTTGAGTGTCATCAGCGTAGAGGTGGTAGTTGAAGCCGTGGGAGTGTATGAGTTTGCCAAGAGAGGAGGTGTAGATGGAGAAGAGAAGGGGTCTGAGGACAGAGCCTTGGGGGACCCCAACAGAGAGGGGGAGGGGAGGTGGCACCATTGTAGGAAACGCTGAAGGAGCGTCGGGATAGGTAAGGAGGAGAACCAGGAGAGAGCGGTGTCTCTGATGCCAAGGGAGAGTAGTTTACTAAGGAGGAGAGGGTGGTCAACTGTGTCGAAGGCCGCAGAGAGGTCCAGGAGAAGGAGGACAGAGTAGTCACCTTTGGCGGTTAGCAGGTCGTTAGTGATTTTGAGGAGGGAGGTTTTGGTGAAGTGTAGGGGAGGAAGCCGGACTGTAGTGGATCAAGGAGGTTGTTGTCAGTTAGGTGGGCGCTCAGGCGATTGTAGACTAAGCGCTCAAGGAGCTTGGAAGTGAGTGGCAGCAGGGAGATGGGTCTGAGGTTGTTTGGGTCTGTGGGGTCCAGGGAGGGCTTTTTGAGTATGGGGGTGATGTGCGTATGCTTTAGGGGGTGGGGGATGCGCCAGTAGAGAGGGAGAGATTGAAGATGTGAGTGAGGGAGCGGATGAGGGAGGAGGGGGGTGACCGGAGGAGGTGAGAGGGGATAGGGTCCAGGGGGCACGTAGTGAGGCGGGCTTCTGAGAAGACCCTGGTGACTTCCTCAGTGGTAGCAGGGCTGAAGGAGTACAGTGCTGGGGGGTTTATGGTAAGCGGGGCCTTGGGTGTGGTGGGGGGCAGTGCGGTTGCGAGGTCAGAGGAGGGGAGAGATGAGGGGGTGATGGGGGGGGGAGGCTAGGTGGGGAGGTAGATTGCGAGTTGACTATGTCCTTACGGATTGCGTCAATCTTGTTGTGGAAATGGGTGGCAATCTCGTGGGCGGTAAGTGAGGTACTGAGTGGAGGAGGGGGGGGGGGAGAGCAGGGAGATGAAGGTGGAGAAGAGTCGGCGAGGGCAGGTGGAGAGGGTGTTGATCAGGTTAACGAAGTAGGCCTGCTTGGCGGCGTGGAGGGAGGAGGTGTAGGTGAGGAAGGCAGATTTGTAGAGGTAGAACGCACGAGGGGACCTGGATTTGCGCCATAGTCTCTCCAGCGCGCGACTGCGACGTTTGAGGCATTTAGTATGGTCGTTCTGCCATGGTTGGAGTGGTCTAGGTTTGATGTTGCGTGTGGTTAGGGGTGCCAGAGAGTCTAGGGTAGCTGATAGTGAGTCATTGTACAAGGTGGCTGGTGTAGGGGTCGGCAGCCGAGTTAGGGCGGGGTTGCGGAGGTTGCGCTGCTGGTGATGGTTTGGCACCTTTGGGGGGGGGGAGTTCGGGGAAGGGGAGATGAGAACGTGATGAGGTGGTGGTCGGAGAGAGGGAAGGGGGTGTTAGAGAACTGGTTGAGGGTACAGAGGTGGGAGAAGACGAGGTCCAGGGTGTTCCCATCGATGTGGGTGGAGGATTGAGCGTACTGTGTGAGCGCGAAGGAGGTGGTTAGGTGGAGGAGTTGGGAAGTAGCCGGGACTGTTGTCGTTGATGGGGATATTGAAGTCCCCGAGGATGATGGTTAGTAGCTCAGAGGAGAGGAAGAAGGGAAGCCAGGCGGCGAAGTCATCCAGGAAGCAGAGTATGGATCCGGGAGGCCTGTAGATCACTGCGATCCTTAGGGGGGTGGGGGAGAAGAGCCGGATACAGTGAGCCTTGAAGGAGGAGAATGATAGGGAGGGGGGGGTTAGGGAGGACCTGGACGGTGCTCAGCGGTGATAGGAGCAGGTCGACACCACCACCTCTGCGACCACTTGGGTCTGGGTGAATGGGTCCAGCTGAGACTTCCATGGGTGAGTGCCGCAGGGGAGGTGGAGTCAGTGGCCTGAACCCAGGTTTCGGTGATGGCTAGGAGGTTGAGGGAGCGGGAGATAAAGAGGTCATGGATGGCGGTGAGCTTGTTGCAAACTGAGCGGGCGTTCAGGAGTGCAACCGAGAGAGGGGGGATGGATGCGGGGAGGAGGGGTACAGGTATGAGGTTGAGGGGGTTGCAGCGGCTGGCGGGAGCAGGGGGGTCACTAGGGGGGGGGTGAGGTGGTGAGGGGCCAGGGTTCGGGGAGATGTCCCCAGCAGATAGGAGAAGGGGGAGGGCGAGGAAGGTGGCATGGGAACGGGAAGTGCAGGAGCGTGTGGTTCTGATAGTGGTGGCACGTGGGTCGACGGGGGAGTGGAGTAGCAGGAGGAGGTGGTGAGTGCCGTAGAGGGGAGAGGGAGAAGTGAAGGGGCAATGTAGAGCTGTTTTTGGGGGGGTAGGCGGGTAGGGGGAGGCGAGTTTTGGGATGGAGGAGAGGAATACGAGGAGGAGGAATGCAGGTGGCATGTTGGTGGTGAGCGGGGTGCTGGTCAGGTCGGGGGAAGTGAGGGGGTACAGGTCAGGGCATGGTGATGTGGAGAGTCTGTATCGCCATGGAGGAGTCCATTTGAGTCCTTTTGTAGGAAGAGGGTGAGAGTGGAGGGCAGCTGGGTCAGCAGCTAACTGGTTGCACTCTGTGGATGCAGTATGCTGGCATCCGTGGTTGCTGTGGCACGTCTTCAGTGGGTACGGTGGTTCGGCGAGCGGGAGGGGTCGTAGGGATGCGATGTCTGGGGGTGTTGGTAGGCACGGCATCTGGTGATGCTGGCGGCTCGGTGACTGGAGATGTTGAGGCCAGGCGTCGGGTGCTGAGGGCTTGGCGTCGCGGGGGGGCGCTGAAGGTGCTGAAGGGTCCAGCGTCAGGAGGTGTTGAAGGGTCGTCGTCAGGAGGTGGTGTGGAAGGACATCTGGAGGTGGAGTGGGCTAGGCGTTGGTAGATGCAGAAGGGCTCAGCGTCCGTGGGCAAAGTGGGTCAGTGCATGCAGATGTTGCGGGCCAGTGACTGAGGGATGCTAGGGGCCCAGCGTCTGTGGGAGCGGTAGGGCCTGGTGTCAGTGGGTACTATAGGCCGCGTGGCAGGCTTGACTCTGCCGAATTGGACAGGGCTCGGGGCTGTGCGGTGGTAGGTGCCCGGCCGCGTGGTACCCGGAGGGGAGCAGGGAGGCAGCTGGTAGCAGGTGCTGACCCTCTCGGTGGCGGCTTACCCTCTCGGTGCGGGTGGCGGAGGTGCGGCGACGTCTCAATTCGCTGGGTGGCCTGGAGAGGTCCCTGGTCCGAGGCTGGGTGCCGGCTGAGGCAGGGTTCTGGGTGGTCTGAGGCAGCCCCTAGGTCCTGGGTGCAGGTAGCTGGGTGCCCGGTGGCTGGGTGTCGGGTGTCCAGAGGTGGTAGCTGGGTGCCCGGTAGCTGGGTGCAGGGTGTCCAGGGGTTGTAGCTGGGTGCCAGTAGCTGGGTGCAGGGTGTCCAGGGGTCGTAGCTGGGTGCCGGTAGCTGGGTGCAGGGTGTCCAGGGGTGGTAGCTGGGTGCCGGTAGCTGGGTGCAGGGTGGCCTGAGGTGGACCCAGAGCCGATGGGGAGGGCTCTGGGGAGACAGGCAGGCCAGCAGGCTGGGTGGTGGACCAGCGATCAGCAGTGGGCCAGAGCTGGTTCCTGGTGGTCAGGGATGGGCCCAGGACCGGTGGGGAGGCTGGCAAATCAGTGGGGACCAGGGAACGGAGCAGCAGCGACCCGGGCCGATGTCCGGCGATGCAGGTCGGCCGCGGGTGCGGGGTAGGTCGCAAGTCCCGGAGCTCCAGGAAAAAGGTCCAGTGACCTACCCTGGCTGACGAGCAGGGACCGGAGAGTCGTCGTGGGGGCCCCGTCAGGGTCTGCTGCCGCCCAGATGGGGCCAGGGGAACAGGAGCTCACCGCTACACGTCCGTTCCGCCGGACGTCCAGTCAGTAATGTGTTCGGTTTTAAAGGCATGAAGTGGCAACCCTATGGAGGACTTTTTCACTGAACCCCCCGTACCTCCAGTTATTCCAAAAATATTCAAAATATACATCTCAGGTATGGCAGACATTGGCTAGGATCAGGATCGTACCCGAGGACATGGATAGGCAGCAAGTTGAAAGCATTGCAATGATGGTCTCTGCTGCCAACGGGACCACTGTGGTCTTCCACCTCTGCCTATAGCATATCAGCTTTACTATCTCCTCCAAGGGCCATTCTGTGGTAAGAATTAATCTTTACCTAAGCAAAGCCACCTTGTCCCTGTTAGCTGAACTTCTGCCATTTAGAATAAGAATTCATTTTACAATTGTTCAGTACTTGTAGAAATAATTACGTTTGTCTCACCTTCTGCAAGAGCTTAAACTTCCCCTTTGTGAGCTCCAACTTCCCTTTATCTTTAATCAGCTTAAACTGTAAGTTTGTGGTCAGGCGCATCCTGTGGAGTATGTTAGAAATAAATGTATTTGATGAATGTACTATGAGATACAAACGCATTTACAAAATCCAAGTATACCCCATCCACCACCACCACCCCTCTGTCCAAGTATGCCACGTCCACCGCCACCCCCCCTGTCCAAGTATACCCCATCCACCACCACCCCTCTGTCCAAGTATGCCACGTCCACCGCCACCCCCCTGTCCAAGTATGCCACATCCACCGCCACCCGTCTCTGTCCAATTATACCCCATCCACCACCCCCCCCCCTGTCCAAGTATACCCCATCCACCACCACACCCCTCTGTCCAAGTATACCCCATCCACCACCACCCCCTCTGTCCAAGTATGCCCATCCACCACCACCCGTCTGTCCAAGTATACCACATCCACCACCACCCCTCTGTCCAAGTATGCCACGTCACCACCACCCCCTGTCCAAGTATACCACGTCCACCACCACCCCTCTGTCCAAGTATACCACGTCGTCCACAGCCCACCCCTCTGTCCAAGTATACCACATCCACCACCACCCCTCTGTCCAAGTATACCACGTCCACCACCACCCCTCTGTCCAAGTATACCACGTCCACCGCCACCCCTCTGTCCAAGTATACCACATCCACCACCACCCCCTCTGTCCAAGTATACCACGTCCACCACCACCCCTCTGTCCAAGTATACCACGTCCACAGCCACCCCTCTGTCCAAGTATACCCCATCCACCACCACCCCTCTGTCCAAGTATACCACGTTCACCGCCACCCCTCTGTCCAAGTATACCACGTCCACCGCCACCACCCCTCTGTCCAAGTACCACGTCCACCGCCACCACCCCACTGTCCAAGTATACCACGTCCACCACCACCCCTCTGTCCAAGTATACCGCATCCACAGCCACCTCTCTGTCCAAGTATACCACGTCCACAGCCACCCCTCTGTCCAAGTATACCACATCCACCGCTACCCCCCTCTGTCTACGTATACCACGTCCAACGCCACCCCTCTGTCCAAGTATACCACGTCCACTGCCACCCCCCTGTCCAAGTATACCACGTCCACTGCCACCCCTCTGTCCAAGTATACCACGTCCACTGCCACCCCTCTGTCCAAGTATAACCGCGTCCACCAGCCACCCCCCTCTGTCCAAGTATACCACGTCCACTGCCACCCCTCTGTCCAAGTATACCACTTCCACAGCCACCCCTCTGTCCAAGTATACTACGTCCACCACTCTGTCCAAGTATACCACATCCACCACCCCTCTGGCCAAGTATACCACGCCAACCGCAACCCCTCTGTCCAAGTATACCACATCCACCGCCACCCATCTGTCCAAGTATACCACATCCACAGCCACCCCTCTGTCCAAGTATACCACGTCCATCCACCCCTCTGTCCAAGTATACCACGTCCACAGCCACCCCTCTGTCCAAGTATACCATCCACAGCCACCCCTCTGTCCAAGTATACCATGTCCACAGCCACCCCTCTGTCCAAGTATACCATGTCCACAGCCACCCCTCTGTCCAAGTATACCATGTCCACAGCCACCCCTCTGTCCAAGTATACCATGTCCACCACCACCCCTCTGTCCAAGTATACCACTTCCACAGCCACCCCTCTGTCCAAGTATACCACATCCACCCCTCTGTCCAAGTATACCACTCCACCGCCACCCCTCTGTCCAAGTATATACCACATCCACCGCCACCCCTCTGTCCAAGTATACCACGTCCCTCCGCCACCCCACCCTCTGTCCAAGTATACCACCACCACCCACCCCTCTGTCCAAGTATACCACATCCACCACCACCCCTCTGTCCAAGTATGCCATGTCCACAGCCACCCCTCTGTCCAAGTATACCACATCCACTGCCACCCCCCTGTCCAAGTATACCACATCCACCATCCCCCCTCTGTCCAAGTATACCACATCCACCATCAGCCCTCTGTCCAAGTATACCACGTCCACCGCCACCCCTCTGTCCAAGGTTTTGCTCACCTCCCTCATAAAAAGAAATCAGATTTGTGTGACAACTGCTGTCTTTCATGAATCCATGCTGTCTGTTGCTTAAAATATTTTTTCCCAGCAAGAACTCCTCTCTGTGTTCTTTTATTAAACTCTCCAGTATCTTCCCAACTATAGAAGTTACACTAAGAGGTCTATAATTACTTGGTAAAGATTTTGACCCTTTTTAAATATTGGCCCCACATTGGCTTTACCAATCCAGTGGTACTATGCCAGTCATTAAAGATCCCCTAAAAATGAGAAACAATGGCTGTGTAATGACAGAGCTCAATTCTTTTGTAGAATGTGTTTTTTTTTTTCCAAAAAAATTTTTATTAGGACAGTGAAGGCAGATGAATGTACATGCAAATCTAGATGACAGTCCGGACATAGACACAACATGTAGCATCCCGTATCACAGACGGGCCGTGGGTTTATACTGTATTACAAATCGAGGTGAGGTATATCTGTATATCAAAGGTATATAGCAAACCAGCAGATACATAGAGTATAATATATACATCATTATAGGTATATTAATTACTAACCTATCTACTTGTAAGCCCTTATGTTGAGGAAGTATGAAGTGTTGGGAAAGAATAGCACATGATGATGTGTTCGTTATGATTTGTGTGCCCATTTCGGGAGCTTGTGATCCACGAGAAATTAGTCACACCTGTATGAGAGATGAGATGCTATATTTTGTTGGGGATATAGGAATGATGAAAGCATACAAGAGGTGTGAGATAAGGAGAAGTCAAAGAGGTGAATAGATAGAAGAGGAGATGTAGAGTGAGTGTCACGTACCTGATGGGAGACTGAATTGACGAGGTCGGCCTCACTTGTGTCACTAGCCCTGACCCCGCTGAAGTTGGAACAGAGGGAGTCTAGGGACCAGGGGGACAAGAGCGCCAGTGGTTGTTGTTTGCAGCTCTTGCAGATGATGACCTTGGAAGGCTGATGATCCTCTGATGTTGGCACAGGAGTAGCAGGCAGAGCAGGTTTTGTAGATTGCCAGACGTGCAGCAGAGCAAGGCAGGTAGTGAGGACAAGAGACAGAAGCAGGGTCATAGGAATAGCCAGGGTCATCAACAGTCGGGCAGCACGGTACAGAATCAGAAGGAAAAGCCAAGGTCAGGAGCAGAGCCGAAGTCAGGAACCAGTGTCAGGTCAGGACAAGCCGGGTCGGTAACGGAGGAATCGCACAGGAAACAAGCAGGACACGGGGGGGGGAACTGAAGACCAGTCAGCACTGAACATGAGCAGAGGCGCTCCTTAAATAGGCCATCTTGCGCCAATCTTTGCCGTGCATGTGCGAGATCGCGCATGCGCACAACCGGCAATTCTTCTGCGGGAATTCCTATGCGCATGTGCATTTCCGAACGCAGTACGTCTTGCCGGAAATCCCTTACAGTGAGGGGGGGGGAGTATGGGGAGAGAAAAAGGAAAAAAAGGGGGGGGGGATGGGGGAAGGGGAGAATGGGTAAGGAGTGGAGTGGATGTTAGAATGGGTAGCTGCAGATAAAATAAATCACATTGTTTTGTACGAGCCAGAAAGATAGCCATATAGCTTAGGATTCAATACGTACAATACCATTCAATGGGGTAACACGTGGGTCAGAAACCCAAAAGACAGGCCACCATGCCAATTCTCAATCTAATTAAATGTGCCTCAAATGCTTCACCCGGCGGACAGAGCGTCCTCAGAGGCAACATTGTGTCCAATCATTCAATGAGGAGGTGTAGGCTGTTCATGCAATAATAGGTGATAGGCAGTGGTGGCTTTGAAATGACTCCAACAAGCCCATGTCTTCCTGAATCTCTCGGGATGGTCTTTTGCTACAGAAATCATTTCCTAAATTTTGTTGATCCTTGCAAACCATTCTTGAATAGTGGGAACATGTGTTGAACGCCAGTGGACTGGGATGCATTGTTTTGCCGCGTTTACCATGTTCATGGCAAATGATTTACGGTACATCCTACACGGAAGTGTGGAGTGGTGGAGCAAAAATTGTGCGGGGGAGAGGTCTAGGGAGTACGTGGTTACTTGCGTGATTATGGGTTGGATTTTCTCCCAGAAGGGCTGCAGCAATGGGCAATCCCACCAGGTATGTAGGAGTGTATCTGATAACACGATAGAGTAGGGCCTATAAGAAGGTGTTCCCTGAACTCAGACGGGATGTGGAAAATTTTTCAGCCAAGGAGAAGTGGCGAGCGGGGTCCCGGAAAATGCAGCTTCCAAATTAACGACAGGCTCTGTAGTAACAGGTGATATCAGGCAGTCCAATACCTCCGCCCGTCTTAGGCATGGTAAGTTGTTCAAAACCAATTCTGGGGAGTTTATTACACCATAAAAAAGAGGTACATAATGTTTTATAGGACCTAAAGAAGGAATTGGGCAGTTTGATTGGAATCGTTTGCATCAGGTATAGTAGTCTAGGAAGCACGTTCATCTTAATAATAGCTGCTCTGCCAAACCAAGAAAAGAATGGTTTGTCCCATGTCTGTAGGTCTTTGGTGATGCTACGTAAAATGGGTAAAAAGGTTTTGGCATAGAGTTCTGTCAGGCGAGTCGGTAATTGGATTCCTAAGTATGTGATGGCCTCAGACTGCCATGTGAAAGGAAAGTTCATTTTTGCCTGTCTGACCATATCTTGGGTTATGGAGACATTAAGGGCCTGGGATTTATTGAAGTTAATTTTAAAATTAGCCAAGTACTGGAATAATTTGAAATCGTGTAGTAAGTTAGGTAGCTTAATATGCGGGTCTGTCAGGAAAAGATGTCCTCGGCAAAGGCAGCTATTTTGTGGACTTTACCATTGATTGAAATTCCTTTGATGTTGTCATTCTGTTTAAAGGTTCCAAAGTGAGAATGAATAGGAGGGGGGATAATGGACAACCCTGTCTGGTCCCATTGCTTATTGAGAAGGCGTCTGAAAGGAGGCCATTGACTCTAACTTTAGTCTTTAGAGCCTTGATCGTATTGTCTCTTGCCTCTCTACTGGGTACAAACCCTACCTGGTCAGTGGAAATAATGGGGTCTATGATGTGTAGTAAACGATTGGCTAATATTTTGGTGAAAATCTTTAGATCAAAGTTCAGGAGGGAGATTGGCCGATAGTTAGCTGGAGATGTCTGGTCCTTGTCTTTTGGTAAAAGCGTTATGTGGGCTTCAGAAAGATGGCACATGGATTGTCCTGGGGTATCTAGTGAATTGAAGGCCTTTAGGAATGGGTGTGTGAGGGTGTCTGTGAAGGATTTGTAATATGTGGTTATAAGTCCGTCTGGGCCCGGGCTTTTACCTGGTTTTAATTGTGCGATAGCCTGTTGTAGTGCTGTCAGTGCCAAAGCTCCATCTAGTTCTCTTGCTTGTGATTGCGAGATAGGTATTAGGAAAAAAGGTTCCAAAGTGAGAATGAATAGGAGGGGGGATAGTGGACAACCCTGTCTGGTCCCATTGCTTTATCGAGAAGGCGTCTGAAAGGAAGCCATTGACTCTAACTTTAGCCGTTGGTGTTGTATATAAATATGATAAAGTTCAAGAGACGAGGAGGGAGCCCAAGGCCAGTCAGAACGGCCTCCATGTAGTCCCATGCCAATCTGTCGAAGGCCTTCTCAGTGTCTAGAGAGAGGAAGAAGCCAGATTGTTTCTTCTGTGTCAACCAATGAAGTACATTTATTGCCCTGATCGTATTGTCTCTTGCCTGTCTACCTGGTCAGTGGAAATAATGGGGTCTATGATGTGTAGTAAACGATTGGCTAATATTTTGGTGATAATCTTTAGATCAACGTTCAGGAGGGAGATTGGCCGATAGTTAGCTGGAGATGTCTGGTCCTTGTTGTCTTTCCGTATAAGTGTTATGTGGGCTTCAGAAAGATGGCGCATGGACTGTCCTGGGGTATCTAGTGAATTGAAGGCCTTTAGGAATGGGTGTGCGAGGATGTCTATAAAGGATTTGTAATATGTGGTTATAAGTCTGTCTGGTTCCAGGCTTTTACCTGGTTTTAATTGTGCGATAACCTGTTGTAGTTCTGTCCGTGTCAAAGCTCCATCTAGTTCTCTTGCTTGTGATTGGGAGATAGGTTTAGGAAGGTATTAGGAGAGAAAAGTCTGGATAATGGCCTTACGTGGTCTAATATCCCCTGTCGGTTTTGGGGCTAAGGGTAGGTTGTAAAGGGTAGTATAATATTTCTCAAATTTGGCTGCTGCATTTGTGTGCTTCCCATTGAATGAGAGGTGTCGTTTCCGGGGACGTATTTTCCTTAAAATAATTGGTCAGAGATTCACGAATTTGGAGGGTAATGGATGAGTCCGTAAGGAGAAAGGGATCTAATCTCCATATTTTGGACGTAGGTGGGGCATCGGGAAGATGTAGGGTCATCATGATCGGGTGATGGTCAGAAAGAATCATTGGTTCAATAGAGGCTGATTTTAATGTGTGTAAGTCTTTTTGTGAAAGAAAGAGATAGTCGATTCTGGAATAACGCTTGTGGGGTGCGGAGAAGAAAGTGTAGTCTTTGTCAGAGGGGTGTAGAGTACGCCATGTATCATGGAGAAGAAGGTCGTTCAGTTCAATTTTAATCTGTTTAAGTGCTCGGAAGGATTTTGATGAAGAGCCTGTCGAAGTGTCTTCCAACGGATTCAGTGCTACATTAAAATCGCCCCCAATAATCAGGATAACCGATTTAAATGTTGCAAATGCTTTAGAAACTTTAAGGAAAAAGCTCACTTGTGCCGTATTGGGGCTGTAAATGTTGGCGGTTTGTTGTAGAGGGTGCCTTTAAGGAAGAGGAACCTTCCCTCCGGGTCCTCGAGAGACTCAGTAATTGTGAGCGGAGTGATTTGGAGATCAAAATGGACACATCTTTTGCTTTCACCTCTGTATTAACTGAATGGTAGACTGTTGGCTAATTAGCATTGGAAAATTTAGGGATATGATCAGCACAAAAGTGGGTTTCTTGGATGAAGAGCACATCTGCTTGTAAGCTTTTCATGTA